TTTAGATGACTAACAAAGGGAAGAAGAAATTTTGGCAGAGAGAGATTTGGAAAGGAAAGAAGGCAGCGAAAAAAGTTCTAAATCTTGTGTTCAAGTAAAAAAATCTGTTTACTATCTTCCTTGTCGATTTAGTCTTTTCAATCTTTGATGGCAGCAACTCGGTGAATAACCATAACAATTCGAAACAATTTCGGCGACACTGATCCGTCGAAGTTGCAGATTATAGGAGTTTTTAGTTCCTTCCGTGCATTGCGGTGCAACTACCCCAAGAGCCTCATATGTTTTTGAGAAATTAGCAAGAGCTTCAAGCTCTTCTCAGACCGGTCATATTTTCTCAATTCTTCGACGAGCATTATTGAATTCACAAAAACCCAACAGAAAATCGCCATAGTTACTGCCCAAATTCAACCTGCGTCACTAGAGTTTTGTAGCAATATGGAGACAAATCAAGACTTCAAATCTAATGAGAGTTTCAAAGTCCCTCCCATCCTATTTTAATTTGTTACTAACCTTATTTGTTGTATAAAATTAGTAACAAGAAATTCAAGAAGGGTGCAGGGATCAACTTGTGGTCTCTTAATTTTGGAGTTTTTAGCCAAAGGTTGTCGACGCCTATTGTCCTTTTGAGATACTGTTAAGAGCCTTAGATTCTTTAAAAATCAATCTATTTCGGCAATCTCAAACCACTTTGAAAGTCAAAAATCGTGAGTTTCCAACTATTTAAGTTTGCAACACAAAACAAAAATATCATGTGTTTTAAACTCGTCTTAGTACTATTAAGAGTCTTTGACTTTTTGTTAAGTCACAGTCTTTAACTCCCCTTAAAAGAGTCACCAGAGTAAATGCATTATTATGTGGAGTTTCTAACTCTAGAAAAATTTTGTAGCAAAACAGACTAGTGGCATTTTTAATACCTACAGCACCAACGGAGTCCCGAACTTCTTCTTGCCCAATGCTAAGAGTTTTAGACTCTTTAAAAATTCAGCCACTAAGAGAGTTGGACCCTTCGAAAATCATGGTGTCACTCCACAAAATACTGCTTAGACAGGAAAATCTGCAAGGATGTCACTCTACTTCTCACTTGTTACAATTTTTTTTGAAGTCATGAATTAATGAAGTTTCAAACTCCGAAGAAAATTGTAGTTTCTAACTCCTAAAGAATTTTGGAGCCTTTGCCTCTTTAAGTGTTTAAGATCTTCCAAAAGCAAATGAAAATCACAGCAAAGAGTCTTTAACTCCTCTAGCCCAAGCTGTTCATTGTTCGAGAAAATTTTAAATTCAATTCGGAGACTTCGACTCCTTTACAGAAGTAATGGTTCAAAGAGAGTTTCCAACTCTTTTTAAATATATTTGGAGTCTTTAGCTCCTTCATATGCTCCTCAAAGAAAGAAGTGGGTTAAAAAGAAAAACTTCAAAAATAATTGCGGCAATTCAAAACCGTTGTGACGCTGATTTGGGGCTTGGATTTTCTAGAGTTCCTTCCAAGCCATAAGTCAAATGAGTTTCTAATTCCTATCAAGGTGTGCGCAAACAAGTTATAGATTAGGGGAGTTCATAACTTGTACTGACCAAGATGTAAACTAAAAGAGTTTTTTTCATCTCCTCCGATAACACACAATAACCCAAAATCTGGTATTCTTTTAAAAGAGCATGACAATGCAATAGTGAATCTTCGACCCTTTTTGAAAAATGTTATAATAATTTAACTAGTTAAATTATTCTCTATTTTTTGAGTTTTAAACTCATACAAATTAAATAGTGCAAAAAAGTCAAATTAAAGGGTTTCTAACTCTTACTCATTTTCAGAGTTTAAAACTCCGCAATGACCTTTATTGAAAGAGCTTTGGACTCTTAATAAATTTTTGAGTTTTTAAATCACATAATACATAGAATTAATTCCATCTTCACTCATAATTTATGTAAAATTCACACAAATCAAAGTTGTCAAATATAACTTCATTCAAATCATAATGGGTATTACACCCATACCAAATCAAATGGGTCATTCACCCATTTCAACTCAAATAAAATAAAATTCTAAATTAAATGGATCTTTCAGTAATTTAAAACCCCACTCAAATTCAAAATTATTTTTTGAATTACGCCTGACTTGATTCTATTTTTGAATACATAGGCAGTCTAGCATCTACCTTGGGCACCATAACAATTTAAAATTCTTTTCATGAACTACGATAGACTTGATTCCATTTGTTAGATACATAGACAATTCAACATCTATCTTGGGTACAGTTGTAAATCTAAATCAATTTCAAATAAATTCCAAAGCCGCACGAACTACGTCAAACTTAATTCTATTTTTGGATATGTAGGCAATCCAACATACACTAGGCACAATCGCATCCCTAAATAAATTCAAAAACCTCAATAATTACAATTGACTTGATTCACTTTCAGATACGTACGCAATATAGTTCAAGTAGATGTAGTCACAACTCCCCCACAATCAAGTGGGTCTTAAATCCGCACCACATTCAAATTTTCGTTCCCCTATTTCAAACATAATAGACTTTTTATCTATTCAATATCAGTGAGTCATCTATCCGTCGATTTTACCCCAAAAAATTTAACATCTTCAAACAATGAATTGACTTGATCCTGTTAATGGGTAAGTCAGCAACATTAGTAGCCGCCACTACAAATAAAATACTCTTATGGGGTAAATAAAAACGTGTGGTAATTTATCGTTAAAATCAAAGGGTGTTCTCTTGAAACAAGAGATTACAAATAATGAATATATATTATCTAGAATGGGTCAAACCTACATTAATAAAACTCATATAATTCCTCGTTATATGAGTGAAGTCGTGTTCGACAAAATATCCAAATTTTTTCCCAACACTCAGCCAACTAATTTTATCACTTCAAATTTTGAATTATTAATTTGAATTTCACATTGTCTAAATAATGACAAATGAGGACAAAAATATAAGCTCGCACAACTGAAAAAGGGAGGGTCACATATCTGAGCATTACGAGATTCCATTTTTATCCTGATTTGACGAAAAATTGAACAACACAATATCCCAACCCTATCTGTAGACTACAAGTTATTTTCAAATCCCAAACGAAAAAGTCCCTATTCTATTGTCACTAGGTCTCACAATCTGAACTGCATTCAACACTTAAAATCATCAGAAGGTGCGATCATTCTGCTGAACTAATATATTGAAATTCCTAAATATGTTGCTGGGATTGGGGAGAACATTCAAACCACCATAGGGAAAAAATAGTTTTGGTGGAATGTTGCAGGCTAAAAAATAAACTACACAGGAAGCACGAGAGATCGAAAATTGATTTAGCAATAAAATCAGGAAGCATTTTTACATGGATGCATCAAATGGGAAGTCAGATCAACCATATGTTACAGCAAAAAAAGAATTTGAGTACCTTTACGTGGAAGTCCAGGAGTTTGTATTATTGTGAATCCATTAGCCTGTTAAAATTATACTTTATGTTCTGGAAGTTTGGTATACAACTTGTCTAGAAATCTAGTCATGTTGCTGAATCTAGAAAGAGAACTAGAGGCAAACAGACCAGAGATCGAGCTATTGTTTTGTTGTCGCACCTAACATGCTTAGAAACATTCTATCTTCCTTTATTTCGGGACAAGTCTTGCCCAGGGCAGGTAATTTATAATAGAGGTGATTTCTTATGATATATGGTTGACCCTATTGTAGTTCATATTGTAACAAAATTTTCTTTCTTGGTAATCAATGAGATATAAGAATTCCTTTACAAATTAATCATTAGAGAGGAAAACAATGTGTTCATATGAAAGGGGAGTAACTGTCTGTATGTATATTGAAGTTTCATAGTAGGTTGATTCGAGATAGGTTTTTGAATTGCTGATGAAGGGGAGTTTTTTTTCTAGGTCTAGAATGTTAGGCCTAGTGATTTGGGGGCAACGTTGGTGGGTGATGTTGGAGGTGGTGCTCGGCCAAGGGGGAAGGGGAAACGCGTGTGTTGCAATAAGGCAATGCGATGAAAGTAAGAAACATGAATATTCTCACTAATCTTTTTTTCTTTATGTTAAGTCAACAAGATTGTTCTACATACATCATCCATGAGCGTGATAGCAAAATGATTTAGATAGAAGAGGGAGAGATAGATAGGGAAGCTTGAACAAGACAAAATAAACCTACAATGACTACGTGGAAATGACTGCAGTTGGAGAGCAAGTTAATAGTGGTTCAGGTAAAAGAAAACAAGATATTATAGAAATTTTACATGAAGAACCTAGAAAATTGCCATCCCCTACTCTCCCTTAATTCAAAAAATGTTTGCGTAGAGTGGACACTGGCTTCACTCTCTCCCTTTGCTAATAGTAATAGATTTACCAATTTCATCTGCTAGCCCTGATTTTTTGAAATGTTTGAATAACGTAACTACATTGCGATTGGCCTAGCCGAGCATAGAAGCTTTGACATTTAGTGCCCTTTAAACAAAATAAGTAATCATAATTTGGGCCAAAGCCAGAGGGCAAACAACCCAATGCATGACCAAAAGTTGCACTCCCTAATGTATTTCACACCATATCATACATACAACAAAAACTTAGTACATAAAACAAAGTCTTGTATTTCACGATAACAATAAATAGTTAAATATTTCTTTTGTAAACTCGCAATTTTTTCCAAGCTTCATCCTTCTAATGGACCCATTCTCTGCAGTAAACACAAAGCACAACTTAGCAACAACAACAAAACTGAAATATACATACATACACATATATGCATACACACGCACACACACATATTAGAGAGAGAGAGAGAGAGAGAGAGAGAGAGAGAAAGGGGGGAGAGACTTGATGTTACCCAAAAGCCATGAAGTCACCTTCCATTAGTTTCCATGACTTCAACCTTTTTCCATTGGAACTCCAACATCAACTACAAAACAGAAGGTCATTGGAAATAAGAGGAACACAAATAGGAGAAATATAAAAGCACTAGATACCTTTATATTGGCTTGAAGTTTCTTTTTCACTCCTTGCTCATCATTCTTTGTAAACGGGCCATGTTCAGCTTAATGAAGATGTATAAGCAATCCGCTACTCTATCCAGGAATCTGAAGTAGGCATGTCTCCAGGACCTTTTCATTACCAAACTGCCAAATACTACCCAAAATCCCATCCCGAATCCCAATACCATGCTAATGTAAAATGGTAATGTATCATCCTCATCGTTGTTGTCATCTTTGGCATCACAACCTTCAACTTTCCCATTTTTGACAGTCAGGCACGGGGTTTGCAATGGACTCCCCCAAAGTCCAGGGTTACCCTCATAAATGGATGGATCATTGAATGTTTGGAACTGGTTGGTTGATGGAATTTTTCCAGACAAGTTGTTATATGACACATTCAATTTGTTCAATGAGGTTATAGAGGCCTGACTCAGAGGAATTGGACCTGAAAGATTGTTGTGTGAGAGGTCAAGAGCTTCCAACTGTTTTAAGCTTCCAATGCTATCTGGTATTTTTCCTGTCAATTGGTTCCAAGATAAATTTAAGTGACCAAAAGTTGAGAGCTGTGTTATCTCTTAAGGGATATCTCCTCGGAGATTGTTTCTTGAAAGATCAATAATCCTAAGAAGATAAAGTGTGAGAGTATACGTCGTTGGCAATCCCTTTACAACCAGCACCATCTGGGGTATAAATGCGTAGTTCCAGTAAGGATAGTGTGAATATGGACTGTAAGGGGTTGAAGAACTCAAACCACTCAAATTGCCCAGGCATGATGGGATGGATCTGGATAAATTGTTATCTGCTAGGTCCAAGATGTGAAGATTATAAAGATGACAAAGTTTTTGAGGAATATTTCCATAAAACATGTTGGCTCGGATACTTAGCACAACTAGTGACAACAAGCTCTCTCCAATCCATGGTGGTATGTTCCCTGAAAACTTATTGCCTCCAAGATCAAGAGTTTTCATGCTTGTGCAGTTTTTTAGTGATGAGAGTTCTCCAGAAAGACTGTTGTTGCTTAATTTTAACCAAAAAAGATTAGGCATTGAACATATTGAATTGGGAATATTACCAGATAGATTGTTCCTCGATAGATCTATGACTCGAATTTCTTGCAAATTCCTTCATTTTTCATGGATTTCTCCATACAAAAGATTGTTTGATAGGTCTAGCCTTTGTAAGTACTTCATATCGCTGATAGACAATGGAATGCTGTCATTCAAAGAGTTTCCAGAAAGATCTAAAATTTCTAGTCGCCACATCACTTGGCCAATGTTTGTGGGTATCGATCCTGAAAACAAATTATTCGCCAAATTCAGACGTGCCACATTAGGCCAAAGGGGAACCTGACCGCTTAAGCGGTTGAAACTGAAGTCGACTATCACTGTTGTATCCCCCGAAAATGCTAATGAATCGGGAAGCATTCCACTTAATTGGTTATAAGAAAGATCTAACCGTTGAATCTGTGGACATAATTTCCTGAGCCAATGGGGTATGGTGCCTGAAATAGAAACATTGTGAGGGCAATAGCATGAAGTTGTTTCTGAGTTTTAAGCCATGTTGGAAATTTTGGACCCAAGGGGTAGCTGTCGATTTCAATGAATCTTAGACTAAAAGGTGGAACCCATTCATCACTCAAATTGATAGAAAACGCTTTATTTGAAGATGATATGGAAAAATATTCCAGTTTCTTGAGGCCTTCCAAATGCTTTTGGGATTGGACACCTCCCCAATAATTTTTATAGAGGCGCAATTTAGCTAGCTGTGTGAGTTTTCCAACACTTTCCGGGATTGTTCCATTCAACTGGTTCCCGACGAGGCCTAAATTGTTCAGCTTAGACAACTTTCCAATAGATTCCGGGATTGGACCTGTGATCAAGTTTTCATCCAGACGAAGGTCCCTTAGATTTTTAAGGAACCCAAATGACTCAGGCAGCTGTCCCCTCAATTGATTATGCCACGAACTTAACTTCTCTATGCTATGATTACTGCATCGAGACAGATCCCCTATTAAATCACTTATGTCGCCACTGATTTCATTGTTGGAAAGATCTAAGACCTGCAAATGACACAAATCTTCCCAAGCAGCTTTTGAAATGGAGGGTTTCATATAACAAGAAGAAAGTTCAAGTTCGGCAAGGGAACTGATATTGAACAACCATTGAGGGAGAGAGTTAAAATGGTTATAAGATAGATCAAGGACCGAAAGGGAAGTGAAATTCAAATTTGGTGGAGAGGGAGAGATGTTTTGCAGTGCACAGTCGAACAAGTGCAATTCAGAAAGGGAAGGAAGCGTACTTAGAGTCTGCAGCCAATTAGTTTCCAAACTAAGGTCGTGGCCTCCTAGGTGCAGGTATTTCAAAGAAGTGAGTCCAGAGACCCAATTTAAGTCTGAGACCCAGCTACTTCCAATGACTTCATTGGGATTTGGATATGCGAAGAGATCAAGATAATGCAAATTTGAGAGATTTCCAAGGTGAGGAGGAACAATCCCAGAAAAATGTGCATATGAGAGATTGAGATAACGCATTCTCTCAAATGAACCGAAGAAATCTGGGATTGGAATTCCTTGGAAATCATTCATGCTTAGGTCCTAGTACTTTCAGATATTTCAAGTCAAGCAAAGAAGGACTTATCTTACCACCCAAACATGATGAGTTGTTGTAATAAGCCGCTGCAGATTGAATTCTTTTCATGAAACAATCACCTTTATCTCTGAGGTCAAGCTTTACAACATGGTCAGTTTGGTTGCTGCAGTGAACACCCTTCCATCTACAACAATCTTTGCCAACCCAAGAAGCAAGATGACCCAAAGGATCGATCAGGCCTTCTCTGAACTGAAGGAGCGCATACCGTTCAATGTCAATACACCTCAGGTTAAGATCACCAGCATCAGTTTTCAGTTCATTGGATTCTTCAAGGTACATAGATTTAGAAAACAGTGGGAAAGACAGAATGATAAAAAACTGAAAGAGGGCACCCCAAGTAGCCATCCTTGCTTCAATATGACAAGTTCAGTGGGTATTTTTCCAGGTTATGTTCTTCCAAGGCTAGTTGGGTTGAGTTTGTTAGATGCATGGAAAGAAACTCATTATATACAACCTTCAATGATAAGGTGATGACTGTTTGAGAACAAAAGCAAAAATCACGGAAAATGGAAGTTCAAGCAATTCCAAACAGTGGGAATGGTCCAATCCCTTGTGGAAAAAAAAAAACACAAAAACAAAAATAGTGAGACTGGAATTGTCCACACTTAAAATCATGGTTCAAAATATCGGTCGATACTGATATAAGTCGGTCAAGTTGTATTTAACTTGACTCATTCCGAGACGATACCGATACACTATGTTGGTGATATTTAGTTTATTCTTCTGATATTCATTAAATCAGTGGATTAGATCACTTTGTTATTTGTTTTTCACTATATTTTATATTTATTATATATGATTGATTGATTAAGACTTTGATGACTAATCCGTCCCTCACCCTGTGTGATCCAGGTGGAGTGTGACAAATGGCACACAGAAAGTCTTGTAAGTCAAGGTCAAAAGCCAAGTTGTCCACCTGTACACAAGTCAAGTGCCTTGCTTTCGAAGGCATTTGCTTACTAGAATATTTGGATGGACCACAATCGAATAAGAAGCTAGATCTAGGACTTTTGGAGGAGAAAAGGCTCAGAAATCTTGCTATCAATGTCACTTTTCTTTTACCATTAGATTCTTTTGTTTCAAGTAATTGAGGGATTTTTTCGCAATGGAAATCATGTCAACTACACATTCTTTGGAAGTATGGTAATAATGTAATTTTTGGATTTTCCTGATTATCTGTAAATTACACGTATTAGTTAACCAATATTTTTATGAGGCCGGGGAGTTGAACTCAACTCGTACGGATTTTCAAATCACCTCTTGTTTGACCACTAAACCAACCCATGCACCTTGAGATTTTTCCAACTAGCACAAAGAAATTCATTGACAATAAAATTCTTTGGTTAGATGACTCACATACAGTTCATGAGATGGCTATCCATGTTTGGAGTTTTCAGTGCAATCTTGACCAATTAGGCACACACATAATGTTTGTTCCTGAGCAACAATGATGCTGGAATGTGTTGACAGTAGCTATTCTTTGAAGGAGAGTACAGAATATAAAGTAAAGGTGGCGGTAGGGTGGTGCTACCACCGCCAGTAATGGTTGTGTAATGGTGATTCATAAGGAAATGTTTAATCAATTGAAGTAGAATTATAACTAGATCAGAGAGCCTGACTATCAAACCTGAGTTCATAGCAACACTGCTAACCTTCTCGCTCTTTGCCAAAAGAGAGAATATTGTAGGTCGTGGTTCTAGTGATACAATGCATGTGTCTTTTTTTTTTTTCTTTCTCGTCTAGGGTTTCAGTGAAAACTAGTGATTTCTTCGAAAGAACCCATCAAGTTTTAACTACTAAAAAGTCCTAACCAACTAAGAAATGCTAAACAGAGTTGGATCTAAGAATCTAACTCATTAAAAAAAAAAGAGTCTAACTCATTAGCCACACAATAATATTTGAAATTAAAACAAATATGTTTATCTGAAAAAAAAATCTACAAGTTTCATTCAAATTAAACATATCACTCTCTTTCAAAATGTACAATAAAAATTAATTTCTCTATCTCATTTTAAACCAACCAAACTTATATTTCATTAATAACTAACAATTTGAAGAGAAAAAAATTAATATAAATATCAATGAAGAGATAACATAATGTACTGAGTAATTTGAAGTTAAAAAATTGTGATTTTTTTTATTTAATTTGAAAATATAATATGAAAAATTTTCAAATGTTTCTCTACTATCAATGGATTAGGTTAGTTTTTAGACTAAAATATTTTAACAAAACTTTTATAAACAAAAGAAAACATTCAACTTGAAATACTGAATTATATAAAAATAATATATTCTTTTTTGAATGTATTTTTTTTACTGATTATTATTGACATGTTGTAACATTTTTTTTTACATATCAAAGATTTTCACGATTAAAAATAATAAAATTCTCTATAAGATCGACTATATATAAGAAAAGCTAAGCGAATTAATTATTCAGTCAATCAAAAAAATATGTTAGCCAAACTTAATAAAAAAAAATTTCATTTCAAAAGGCAAAAAAAAAAAGATTTAAATTATTTTTTTAAAACTAAAAGACCTATTTAATATTGGTTGCTTTATGCCTTCAATTGTATTGAGCCGCCCTGAATGGTGGTCATTGCAAGTTATGTCGTGCCCATTAAGGGGCAACCTTCTAGTGAATTCTATATGGTGTTTGATAAAATTAGATGTTTTATCCGCACAAGGAAAATAATTAAAACTAAAATAGTACTCATAATCAATCATACTTGTGTAACAAAGAATCATAATAACGATGAGATACTTGAAATGCCCAGATTCCTCTTCACCACTGACTCATCCACACCTAAGTGCGCAATCGTCTAGTGCTTCAAACCGCTTTCTATTCTCTTTGAATCAAAACTTCGATTAATAAAGCAATGTTTTTAAAAAAAAAAAAAAAATCGCCTGCAATTGATTCTCAATGCAAAATCACAAGTGTAATCCACCCAGGCATTCTAGATAGACACCAAAAATAACGTAGGAATTTCATATATGAATGTATGAAAAAAGAAGATTGGAAAAAAAGTAAAGAATTAGACGCCTAATGTTAAATATCTAAATTACACTAATAAAGAACTTTAAATACCACACTATCGTTCTATAGTTAAATATCTAAATTACAATAATATCCTTATGTATTTAAATCTCCAAATTATCCCATAACATCTCTTTTAATTCTCTATTCTCTATCTATAAATATAAAAAAAAAACCTATAAGATTTTTTAATTGATTACGGTACCCTTAAAAAATATATGCATCATTATAATTTTCAATAAATTGTTTAAAAAATCTTCAAAAACTCCTCAATAGATCATAACTCTTTTCACATTTAAAAATAATATTTATGCCTACATAATTTTTTTTAATATTTGTGAGATGTTCTCTGTATAATAATACAAGACTCCCATCCAATATTTGATTCTTGGCCTTTTGATTCAATGAATTTACATAAACCTCTCTTAAATTTATATTTCTTGACAGTTTTAGTTTCAAATTCAAGTCCTTATTTTTATTTTTGAATACTTAAAGAGCATGGCCAATGGGAGTCCCAGATAGCTGCATGGCAAAGACCTATACTTGAAGACAAGAGGCTTCCTGAATGGTGAGCTTGGATGTTCATTTTCTTACTTGTAAACAATCAAATTTTAACTTTTCAATACTTCTGCAGATACCCAATCACGCTTTTCAATGAGCTGTACTATCTTAATGCCGGGGGAACAATTTGGACAGGTATTTGAGGAAACACGAAACTTTGTTGTTCGCCTTTGGCCAGATTAAGCGAATCTGAGTTCATCTTTCCTCCTTTTTCTAGATGGATCACCTCCATTGCATAGTTTATCAATCATTGGTGAAACAAAGTTTTCCCTCGATTGGTCCAAGTCAAATCTTAAAAATAGCATCAATACATCCAACGACAATGACACTGCTGTTGACATTCTTGGAAGGATGGCTTCGGTACTTCAGGAGATTCATACTTCAGCACCAGTAACTTCCGCTTTTGGAACAAACTTGCTGCAAAAGGGGGAGGAAAACATTGGACAATTCCTTTGTCTGAAAGGGATTGAATATCACATGGGTAACACCTATGATGTTCATTTCTATGCATCTTTTTCCTTAATCATGCTATTCCCAAAACTGGAATTTAGCATCCAAAGGGACTATGCTGCAGCAGTGATGATGCATGATCCTAGTAAGATGACACTTCTGCATGATGGAAGTCTAGTCTCAAGAAAAGTTCTTGGTGCTGTTCCTCATGATATTGGAATGAATGATCCATGGTTTGAATTAAACTATTATAAACTTTACAACACAGATAGGTGGAAAGATTTGAATCCAAAAGTTGTTCTGCAAGTTTACAGGGATGTGGTTGCCACAGGTGACAGACAGTTTGCGCGAGCTGTTTGGCCCTCAGTTTATACTGCAATGGCTTATATGGAACAATTTGATGTGGATGGGGATGGGATGATAGAAAATGAAGTGTTCCCCGATCAGACATATGATACATGGTCTGCCTCTGGTGTTAGTGCCTATTGTGGGGGGCAGCCTTGCAGGCTGCTTCTGCTATGGCTCGTGAAGTTGGTGACAATGGTTCTGTAGATTATTTTTGGTTTAAATTTCAGATGGCAAAGAAGGTATATGATAGGTTGTGGAATGGTTCTTATTTTAACTACGACAACAGTGGTAGTAGCACAAGTACATCTATTCAAGCTGATCAGTTGGCTGGAAAATGGTATGTCGCAGTAGCAGTAGCTTGTTCTGTATTTCTTAATATCATCTGGATCCAGATCATTCTGTAAGACAATGACATGAAAATTAAAGGAGCTTCTGTTACATGTTTTGAACATTTAGTTAGCATATTTGAAGTACTTATCATGATCTTAGAAACAAAGTTTGCCTTATTATATTCTTTTGCTTTCAAAAGCATGGAAAAAAGTAATTTACCACAGAAAAAGGCAAAGCACCTTCAAAATGCTAATTATTAATGTCTTCTTTTCATCATTGGCTGCTTATAGTATCCTTGGATCTACCGCTAACACATACAAAATGTATGTATGTTCCCCCTTACATAACATAAGCAGAGAGAGTTGGTTGTATGGAGTATACGTGCTAGGGGTACTTTCGCATGTACACAATACTGACAAGCATACGTGAGAGGAGTCGGCCTACGATTTCACGTCTTTCTTTTATCATTTATGTGTGTGATACATATGTACAGAGAAAGAGTATAAACTGGGCTGTATGAGTATGCATTGTGGACATTTCAGTTTGTATTTATATTTAAATCAGGGGTTAGAAGAGATTTATTTTCTTGTAAATCTATGCTAATTACCTGGATACTTTATAGGTATGCCCGAGCATGTAGTCTTTTACCCATTGTTGATGAAGAGAAAGCAAAAGTAGCACTCGAGGAGGTTTTTAGTTTCAATGTCATGAAGGTGAAGGATGGGAGACTTGGGGCTTTGAATGGGATGCTGCCCAGTGGAGAACCTGACATCTCGTGCATTCAGACAAAGAGATATGGGCTGGTGTTATATATGGGGTTGCTGCAGCTATGATTCTTGAAGGCATGGTAGAAATGGCTTTTCAAACTGCAGGTGGAGTCTATGAAGCAGCTTGGTCCAAAGAAGGACTTGGGTAAGTTTGTTCCATTTGCATTGTCCTTCTGCAGCCGGGGATGACATACTTGGAAATAAAGATTTAGAAACTCTTGGCTGAATATTACATTCTTTAACATGATAATATTTCTCCTTTGTGGCAAATTATAAAGTGTTTATCGAGATCATGTTAGCCGAACAATAGGATACAGCTATAGTTAAAGCCAGTCAAATGACTTTTGCTAGTGTCAGATTATAGAGATGTATCAGATTATCATGAATCCAAGTCCAACCAATGGATTACTGCCTAAATGGTTGCGTTGAAACTTACAAAATTCAATCTCATAAGAGTTCCGCCACTCACCCAGAAACACAGAAGCAGGTGACACATTACTTTGAAACTTCAGTATTGTATAGATTATAGTTTGTTGGACATTATTTTTAGTGAATACTATTGGTGATTTGTTAAATAGATAGCTCTTAGCATTTCAGTTTGCCTCCTTTCAGCACCCATCCATAAAATTCAGTATTTCTTTCTCATAAAACCTGAACTGATTAGAGTTACACTTAAGCCTTTGTTTCGGGAGTACAATCCATACAGAGCGTACTCATCTACGGGTTTTCCATGTTTTAGCAGAGCACCTTGTTCTGCATATGCAGCACTCCCATTGTGCTTATTTTGCTTTAGGGGGTTTGGTACAAACATTGCAACATCATAGTATGCCACAGCTGGCCTTCCTATTCGGGAGGCTTCGATTTCTAACATCACATTTTAGGGGCTTTAGTTTAATAAAAAAAAAAGTGCAAACTCCACTTTATCTCTTTTTGCTATACCCAAATTCATTTTACGTCCCTTAAAGTTTAAAAACCTCCACAGAACCCTCTAGTGGACTAAAGTGCATAGTTAAAAAATCCGTCCAAATTAACAGAATTGAACATAAAGACTTTAATACCCTTCTTTACTCCATCCCTTTGTCGAACACACACCAACGAACCAAAAAATGAATTGAAACCGAAACTAAAATCAAAAAAAATCTGTGCAAATTTTTATTTTGAGAAGGTTAATGACGAGTGCATGCTCAACGTGTGGTTTGCTCAAATTATTCATCCACATCTCGACCCGTTAAGCTCAAATTTCAAAATCTAAATATTAATTTGACTCATTCTAAATAAAAATATGTTTCTTGTGAGTTTTGAGAATTGGATGTTGGTCCAAGTTTTTAAAAAAAGAAAAGATCAGGAATAGGAGTTGTACTCGAAACAATGGCCACAAAATTCTCAACCGTTATTCACTTGATGTTCTGTATATGAATTATATACACCTGCAAATTCCAATAGATAACCCACCTAGCAAATAATGGGGGTTAGCAAAGGACCCACTAGCTAGAATGAAGTAGGGGAAGTTAAAGAAGTTGGCAGAACATGTGGACGCCACTAAACCCATGTAATTTAGCACCTAGTCCACTATGTCTATGCATGCAACTCCTCTATTTAAAGAGGAAGGCAATGGGTGGCAAGAAAGAGAAAAAAGGAGGACAAAGTTTAGACGATTAACAAAGGAAGAAGAAATTTTGGTAGAGAGAGATTTGGAAAAGAAAGAAGGTAGCCAAAAAATTTCTAAAGCTTGTGTACAGGTAAACAAAATCTATTTACTTTCTTCCTTGTCGATTTAGTCTTTTCAATCTTTGATGGCAGTAACTCAGTGAATAACCATAACAATCCGAAGCAATTTCGGCGATACAGATCCTTCCAAGTTGCGGATTATAGGAGTTTTTAACTCCTTCGGTGCATTGCGACACAACTACCCCAAGAGCCTCATATGCTTTTGAGAAATTAGCAAGAGCTTCAAGCTTTTCTCATACCGGTCATATTTTCTTAGTTCCTCAGCGAACACCACTAAATTCACAAAAAATCCAATAGAAAATCGCCTTAGTTACTGCCCAAATTCAGTTTACGTTACATGAGTTTTGTAGCTATATGGAGACAAATCGAGGCTTCAAATCTAATGAGAGTTTCAAACTCCCTCCCATCCTACTTTAATTTGTTACTAACCTTATTTGTTGTATAAAATCAGTAACAAGAAATTCAAGAAAGGTGCAGGGATAAACTTGTGGACTCTTAATTTTGGAGCTTTTAGTTAAAGGCCGTTGACGCCTATTGTCCTTTTGAGATACTGTTAAAAGCCTTAGACTCTTTAAAAATCAATGTATTCTGGCAATCTCGAACAACTTTTGAAGTCATAAATCGTGAGAGTTTCTAACTCTTTAAGTTCGTAGCACAAAGAAAAAATATCTCACAAGTTTTAAACTCATCTTAGTACTATCAAAAGTCTTTGAATTTTTTGTTAAGCCACGAAGTCTTTGGCTCCCCTTAAAATAACCAAAGTGAATACATTCTTATGTGGAGTCTCTAACTCTAGAAAGAGTTTGTTGCAAAACGGACTAATGAAATTTTTAATTCCCACAACACCAATGGAGTCCCAAAATTCTTCTTGCCCAATGCTAAGAGTTTTAGACTCTTCAAAAATTTAGCCGCTAAGAGACTTGCACCCTTCCAAAATCATGGTGCCACTGCACAAAACACTGCTTGCACAAGAAAATCTGTAAAGGATGTCACCCTATTTCACTTGTTACAAATTTTTTTGAAGTCATAAATTAATGAAGTTTCTAACTCTTAAAAAAATTGAGGTTTCTAACTCCTAAAAAATTTTGGAGCCTTTTCCTCCGTAAGTGTTTGAAATCTATTGAAAGCAAATGAAAATCACACTAAAGAGTCTTTAACTCCTCTGGGTCCAAGCTGTCCATTGGTCGAGAAAATTTTAAATTCAATTCGGAGTCTTTGACTCCTTTACAGAAGCAATGGTCCAGAGAGGGTTTCCAACTCTTTTTAAATATATTTGGAGTCTTTAGCTCCTTCACATGCACATCAAAGAAAGAAGTGGGTTAAAAAGAAAAACTTCGAAAGCAATTGCGGCAATTCAAAACTGCTGTGTGGCCAATTTGGGGCTAGGATTTTTTAGAGTTCCTTCCAAGCCATAAGTCAAATGAGTTTCTAATTCCCACCAAAGTGCACAAACAAGTTATAGATTAGGGGAGCTCTTAACTTGTATTGACCAAGATGTAAACCAAAGGAGTTTTTTAGATCTCCTCCGATAGCGCGTAATAACCCAAAATCTTGTATTCTTTTAAAAGAGCATGACAATGCAACCGGGAATCTTCGATCCTTTTCGGAAAATGTTACAATAATTTAATTATTTAAATAATTCACAATTTTTGGAGTTTTGAACTCATACAAATTAAATAGTGCAAAAAAGTCAAATTAAAGAGTTTCTAACTCTTTCCTCATTTTCGGAGTTTAAAACTCCACAATGACCTTTATTAAAAGAGCCTTGGACTCTTAATAAAGTTGAGTTTCTAGCTCACATAATACATATAATTCAATTCTATCTTTACTCATAATTTATATGAATCTTAAAATTCACACAAATCAAAGTTGTCAAATATAACTTCATTCAAATCATAATGGGTATTACACCCATATCAAATCAAATGAGTCATTCACCCATTTCAACTCTAGTAAAATTCTAAATTAAATAGGTCATTCAGTCATTTAAAACCCCACTCAAATTCAAAATCATTCTTCGAATTACGTCCGACTTGATTCTATTTTTGGATACGTAAGCAGTCTAGCTACATTGGGCACCATCGCAATTTAAAATTCGTTTCATGAACTATGACAGACTTGATTCCATTTTTGGATACGTAAGCAGTCTAGCTATATTGGGTACAGTCGCAAGCCTAAATCAACTTCAAATAAATTCTAAAACCTCACGAACCACGTCAAACTTAATTCTATTTTTGAATACATAGACAGTCCAACATATACACGGGGCACAGTCGCACCCCTAAATAAATTCTAAAACCTCAATAATTACGGTTGACTTGATTCCTTTTCAAATACATACATAGTCTAGTTCAGATAAGTGTAGTCACAACTCTCCCACAATCAAGTGGATCTTAAATCCGTACCAAATTCACATTTTTATTCTCCTATTTCAAACATAATGAACATTTTATCCATTCAATATCAATGAATCATCTACCCGTTGATCTTACCCCAAAAATAATTTAACCTCTCCGAACTATGAATCGAGTTGATCCTGTATCTCACCAACCTCTGTCTAGCTGCCACTACAAATAAAATACACTTATGGGGTAAATAATAATGAGTGGTAATTCTTCGTTGGAATGAAAATATGTTTTCTTAAAACAATCTAGAATGAGTTTAACCTATATTAATAAAACTCGTATAATTTCTCGTTATATGAGTGAAATCGTGTTCGACAAAATATTCAAAATTTTTTCCAACATTAGGGATGACAGTGGACCAAAACGGGGGTAGGGGGTCTAATTTTTATTCTCGTACCCGCTTAAAAAAATTTTGTTTATCTCCGGTCCACCCCCGCTAAAGGGTATAACTTTCATCCCCCACCCCCTCCTCGGGTAAATTTGTAATCCCCACCTCCTCCCCGTCCCTGCCTTCACCTCCGCCCCCATCCCCACCCCTACCCCCACCCCCACCCCCACCCCCACCCACCTTACCCGCCCAAGCTCAAGCTAACATAATCTAAAATTCTAAATAAATTTAACATTCTAAATAATATAACACAATTATAGAATATCATAACATAATTAAAAAATTTTCATTTACAACATAATATAATTAAAACCTGTCTACAATATAATCCACATAATATAATTAAAAGTTTGTCTCCCTTGTAAATTCAACGCAATATCATGCAATACAACATAATATAACATAACATAATGTAACATAAAAAAAATATAAAAACACAAAAATCTAAACTTTTACAAGCCAAAACCATGAAAAAAAATCAACAAACAAAATAATTTTCAAAAGATAAAATTATTCAATAATACATAGATTTGTATTCACAACAACATGTATGTGTGTGTGTGTGTATCTATATATATATATATATGTATAAAATAATAATAATAATAATAATAACGGGTAAAACGGGGCAGAGCGGGGAGGGGTGGGGGTAAGTGTTAGTCCATCTCCGTCTTCATTTCCTCACGAATTTATACAGGTATCTCCGTATACGTCCACTGTCCAATACATGTGGTCCATCCCCAATCCAAATGAGACTAGTTTGGAAAAATACCCATTTTTACCCAGTCCACTGTCATCCCTACCCAACACCTAGCCAACTAATTTTCTCACTTCAAACTTTGAATTATTAATTTGAATTTCACATTGTCTCAATAATAACAAATGATGACAAAAATATAAGCTCGCACAACTGAAAAAGGGAGGATCAAATCTCTGAGCATTACGGGATCCATTTTTATCTTGATTTGACGAAAAATTGAACAAAAGTAAATGGTTGGGGGCAATATGACATTCAAACCAATAGTTCAAGATGTAATATGAAAAAATAGATAGTTTAAGAGACAATATGAAAGGAGGAGAATAATTTACTATGTCTTAAGTGTAATTTACTCTGTTTGAAGTTCTTCCCTCCAAAAAATAAATGAGTCTGAAGAGTCCCACCATATCCCAAATCCATCTGTAGACTACAAGTTATTTCCAAATCCCATACAAAAAGTCCTAATTCTATTTCTAACAATCTGAACTGCATTCAATGCTTAAAATCATTAGAAAGTGCAATCATTCTGCTGAATTAACATATTGAAATTCTTAAATATGTTGCTGGGATTTGGGAGAACATTTAAACCACTACAGGAAAAAAATAGTGTTGGTGGCATGTTGTAGGCTAAAAAATAAACTACACAAGAAGCGCGAGAGATCGAGAACTGATTTAGCAATGAAATTAGGAAGCATTTTTACATGAATGCATCAAATGGGAAGTCAAATCAACTATATGTTACAACAAAAAGAGAATTTGAGTACCGGTACTTGGAAGTCCAAGTGTCTATATTATTGTGAATCCATTAGCCTGTTAAAATTATACTTTCTCTTCTGGAAGTTTGGTATACAACTTGTCTAGAAATCTAATCATGTTGCTGATTCTAGAAAGAGAACTAGAGGCAAATAGACCAGAGATCGAGCTATTGTTTTGTTGCCACACCTAACATGCTTAGAAGCATTTTGTCTTCCTTTATGTTGGGACAAATCTTGCCCAGGGCAGGTCATTTATAATAGAGGTGATTTCTTCTAATATATAGTTGACCCTATTGTAGTTCATATTGCAACACAATTTTATTTCTTGGTAATCAATGAGATATAAGAATTCCTTTACACATTAATCATTAGAGAGGAAAACAATGTGTTCATATGAAAGGGGAGTAATTGTCTGTATGTATAATGAAGTTTCAAAGTAGGTTGATTCGAGATAAGTTTTTGAATTACTGATAAAGGGGAGTATTTTTCTAGGTCTAGAATTTCAAGCTTGGTGATTTGGGGGCAACGTTGGTGGGTGAGGTTGGAGGTGGTGCTCGGCCAGGGGGGACGGGGAAACGCGTGTGTTGCAGCAGGGCAGTGCGATGAAAGTAAGAAACATGGATATTCTCACTAATCTTTTTTTTTTCTTTGTCTACATACATCATCCATGAGCGTGATAGCAAAATGATTTAGATAGAAGAGGGAGAGATAGATAGGGAAGTTTGAACAAGACAAAGATAAACCTACAATGACTATGTGCAAATGACTGTAGTTGGAGAGTAAGTTATTGGTGGTTTAGGTAAAAGAAAACAAGATATTGTAGAAATTTTACATGGAAAACCCAGAAAATTGCCATCCCCTACTCTCCCTTAATTCAAAATTTTTTTGCATAGAGTGGACATTGGGCTCCACTCTCTCCCTTTGCTAATAGTAATAGATTTACCACTTCATCTACTAGCCTTGATTTTTTGAAATGTTTGAATAATGTAACTGCATTGCGATTGGCCTAGCCGAGCATATAAGCTTTGACATTTAGTGCCCTTTAAACAAAATAGGTAATCATAATTCGGGCCAAAGCCAGAAGGCAAATAACCCAATGCATGACCAAACGTTGCACTCTCTAATGTAAATCACACCATATCATACATACAACAAAAACTTAATACATAAAATAAAGTCTTCTATTTCACAATAACAATAAATAACTAAATATTTCCTCTGTAAACTTATTTTTTTCCAAGTTTCATCTTTCTAATGGACCCATTTTCTGCAGTAAACACAAAGCACAACTTAACAACAACAACAAAACTGAAATATACATACATACACATATATGCATACACAAGCACACACACATATTAGAGAGAGAGAGAGAGAGAGAGAGAGAGAAAGAAAGGGGGGAGAGACTTGATGTTACCCAAAAGCCATGAAGTCACCTTCCATTAGTTTCCATGACTTCAACCTTTTTCCATTGGAACTCCTACATCAACTACAAAACAGAAGGTCATTGGAAATAAGAGGAACACAAATAGGAGAAATATAAAAGGACTAGATACCTTTATACTGGCTTGAAGTTTCTTTTTCACTCCTTGCTCATCATTCTTTGTAAATGGGCCATGTTCAGCTTAATGAAGATGTATAAGCAATCCGCTACTCTATCCAGGAATCTGAAGTAGGCATGTCTCCAGGACCTCTTCATTACCAAACTGCCAAATACTACCCAAAATCCAATCCCGAATCCTAGTACCAAGCTAATGTAATATGGTAATGTGTCATCCTCATCGTTGTCGTAATCTTTGGCCTCACAACCTTCAACTTTCCCTTTGTTGACAGTCAGACACGGGGTTTGCAATGGACTCCCCCAAAGTCCAGGGTTACCCTCATAAATGGATGGATCATTGAACGTTTGGAATTGGTTGGTTGATGGAATTTTCCAGACAAGTTGTTATATGACACATTCAATTTGCTCAATGAGGTTATAGAGGTCAGGCTCAGAGGAATTGGACCTGAAAGATTGTTCTGTGAGAGGTCAAGAGCTTCCAACTGTTTTAAGCTTCCAATGCTATCTGGTATTTTTCCTGTCAATTGGTTCCAAGATAAATTTAAGCTACCCAATGTTGAGAGATGTGTTATCTCTTCAGGGATATCTCCTCGGAGATTGTTTCTTGAAAGATCAATAGCCTTAACAAGATAAAGTGTGAGGGTGTACATAATTGGCAATCCCTTTACAACCAGCACCATCTGGGGTATAAACACGTAGTTCCAGTAAGAATAGTGTGAATATGGACTGTAAGGGGTCCAAGAACTCAAACTACTGAAATTGTCCAGGCATGATGGGATGGATCCAGATAAATTGTTATCTGCTAGGTCCAAGATGTGAAGATTATAAAGATGACAAAGTTTTTCAGGAATATTTCCATAAAACATGTTGGCTCGGATACTTAGCACAACTAGTGATAACAAGCTCTCTCCAATCCATTGTGGCATGTTCCCTGAAAACTCATTGCCGCCAAGATCAAGAACACTCAAGCTTGTGCAGTTTTTCAGTGATGAGAGTTCTCCAGAAAGACTGTTGCTGCTTAATTTTAACCAAAAAAGATTAGGCATTGAACATATTGAATTAGGAATGTTACCGGATAGATTGTTCCTCGATAGATCTATGACTCGAATTTCTTGCAAATTCCTCCATTTTTCATGGATTTCTCCATACAAAAGATTGTTTGATAGATCTAGCCTTTGTAAGTACACCATATCGCTGATAGACAATGGAATGCTGTCATTCAACAAGTTTCCCGAAAGATCTAAAATTTTTAGTCGCAACATCACTTGGCCAATGTTTGTGGGTATCGATCCAGAAAACAAATTATTCGCCAAAATGAGATGTGTCACATTAGGCCACAGGGGGATCTGACCGCTTAAGCGGTTGAAGCTGAAGTCGACTATCACTCTTGTATACCCCGGAAATGCTAATGAATCAGGAAGCATTCCACCTAATTGGTTATAAGAAAGATCTAACCGTTGAATCTGTGGACATAATTTCTTGAGCCAATGGGGTATGGTGCCTGAAATAGAAACATTCGTGAGGATTATAGAATCAAGTTGTTTCTGAGTTTTAAGCCATGTTGGAAATTTTGGACCCAAGGGGTAGCTGTCGATTTCAATGAATCTTAGACTAAAAGGAGGAACCCATTCATCACTCAAATTGATAGAAAACGCATTATTTGAAGATGATATGGAAAAATATTCCAGTTTCTTGAGGCCTTCGAAATGCTTCTGGGATAGGACACCTCCCCAAGAATTTTTATAGAGCCACAATTGAGTTAGCTGTGTGAATTTTCCAACACTTTCCGGGATTGTTCCAGTCAACTGGTTCCCGACAAGGCTTAATATTTTCAGATTAGACAACTTTCCAATAGATTCCGGGATTGGACCTGTGAGCAAGTTTTCATCCAGATGAAGGAACCTTAGATTTTTAAGGAACCCTAGTGACTCAGGCAGCTGTCCACTTATATGACTATCCCACAATTTTAACATCTCTATGCTACGATTACTGCATCGAGACAGAGCCCCTATTAAATCACTTATGTTGCCTATGATTTCATTATTGGAAAGATCTAAATCCTGCAAATTACACAAATCTTCCCAAGCAGCTTGTGAAATGGAGGCTTTCGCATGGCAAGAATAAAGACTAAGTTTCGCAAGGGAACTGATATTGAACAACCATTGAGGGAGAGAGTTAAAATAGTTATAAGATAGGTCAAGGACCGAAAGGGATGAGAAATTCAAATTCAGTGGAGAGGGAGGGATGTTTTGCAGTCCACAGTAGTACAAATGCAATTCAGAAAGGGAGGGAAGCGTATTTAGAGCCTGCAGCCAATTAGTTTCCAAACTAAGGTTGATGTATCCTAGGTCCAGGTATTTCAAAGAAGTGAGTCCAGAGACCCAATTTAAGTCTGAGACCCAGCTACTTCCAATGTAATCATTGGGATTTGAATACGCGAGGAGATCAAGATAACGCAAGTTTGAGAGATTTCCAAGGTGAGGAGGAACAATCCCAGAAAAAGATGCAAAACGAGAGATTGAGATAACGCATTCTCTCAAATGAACCGAAGAAATCTGGGATTGGAGTTCCTTGGAAATCATTCATGCTTAGGTCTAAGTACTTCAGATATTTCAAGTCAAGCAAAGAAGGGCTTATCTTCCCACCCAAACACGATGAGTTGTTGTAATAAGCCGTTGCAGATTGCATGCTTTTCATGAAACAATCACCTTTATCTCTGAGGTTAAGCTTTACAACATGGCTACTTCGTTGCTACAGTGAACACCCTTCCATCTACAACAATCTTTGCCAACCCAAGAAGCAAGTTGACCCAAAGGATCGATAAGGCCTTCTTTGAACTTAAGGAGTGCATTCCGTTCAATGTCAATGCACCTCAGGTTAAGATCACTAGCATCAGTTTTCAGTTCATTGGATTTTGCAAGGTACGAAGATTTAGAAAACAGTGGGAAAGACAGAATGATAAGAAGGAGGCCTCCCCAAGTAGCCATCCTTGCTTCAATATGACAAGTTCAGGGGTATTTTTCGAGGTTAATTATGCTCTTCCAAGGCAAGTTGAGTTGAGTTTGTTAGATGCATGGAAAGAAACTCATTATATACAACCTTCAGAATATGATAAGGTGATGACTTTTTTAGAACAAAAGCAAAAATCAACGGAAAATGGACAGTTCAAGCAATGCCAAACAGTGGGAATGGTCCAGACCATTGGAAAAAAGAAAACACAAAAACAAAAACAGTGGGACTGGGAATGGTCCACACTTAACACTGACTAATTAAGACAAAAGGAAGTCTATTCAAGTGATTTGTACAGGAGAAGAATAATTGAGCCATGAGACTTAAAATTATCTTCTCATCATCAACTTTCTGCAAGAGGAAGGCTAAAAAAGTATACCCCAAAATAGAGCCAAGAAATTCAGTATACAAACAGGGCTACAATCCCTTAAAGCCCGTTACGTACCATGATTTCAGTGTCGGAGAGCCTTAGACCGTTTCCACACCGTGTGCTTTAAGTATCATTGTTTGATGTTGAGTGTGCCTTCCATGATCAAATGGCACACAGAAAGTCTTGTAAATCAGAGTCAAGAGCCAAGTTGTCCACCAATATACAAGTTAAGTGCCTTGCTTTCGAAGGCATTTGCTTACTAACAGAATATTTGGATGGACCCCAGTTGAATAAGAAGCTCGATCTACGATGTTTTTGGCTATGGAGTTATGTGTTCCCTTGGCTCTTGAGTAATTTGTGAACGAAAGGTTAATGCATTTGAATGTGTAAAGTGTAAAGACATTTTGATCAATGGAGTTATTTACCCTTTTTTTTGAAAAGGGGGAAGAGGAAGGAGGGCGACTTGAATCCTTAACTTCAAGAAGACAAAGTTTTCATAAGGTAATGAATATTATTGGACTAAAAAACCATTGATATGAAGTTATTTAATTTCTGAAAAAAAATTAATGCGAAGTGAAAATTGAAAAACAAAATTGAAAAAAGATGAATTCCTATAATTGCTGAGAGTTTACTTAGACGATTCCAACATTTCATTGCAATTCAGTCCGGCCTTTGAAGTTTTTTTTTTTTATTTATTGTTTTCGAGAGGGAAATCATGTTGCTTTTTCAATATATCTATACTCTAGTTTTCTTAAAATTACTTCTTAGAAACAGTGTCTTAGCACTGCAAGTTTGATACTTGTTATGCCATCTCTAAATAGAAAAAGCTACTTTAATCAGTGCATAGATGTTATGCTGAACAGCAATGCAATTAAGTGGTGAAAAATGTATTCAAATTATTTGCATTGTCATTACACCCATGGGGTGTGTTTGGATAATGGGATTGGATAGGGTAAGATATCTTTTTTTATATCCTAACTCATTCAAGTCAAACCCACTCGTTTACTTTAAAACCCTGACCTTAGAATATATCAAATATTAACATTTATTTGGGAAACAAATGTGTAATTCACTGGGGCTCATAGATAACATAAATAATTTTATAATAATTTATCATTCTACCCATGATTCTGTCAATTCCAATCCAAACCTATTCTAGCCTATGTTTTTTTTTTCAAAGAAAGAAGAAATTTTATTGAAATAAACCAAGATTACAAGAAGCAAAGCTTAACAACCAAAAAGAACAGCCATAGTTGGCCTTAATCGATCCTTCAAAAATAAAATTTCAACAAAATTCTTCTTCATAAGTCAAAACTGCCTAGCAACACCTTTACCAAAACTGCATCAGCCTCCCTCTTTACTGCTGGAAAGTATCAGCATCCTCAAAAATCAACAAGTGAAAACCTTCAACACAGGCGTTTCCAATTCTTCATAATGAGCTAATATACCCAGTTAGCCGTTATCATCAAATACAATCCTCCTCCTTTTGCGCAAAACTGGCAAACTCACTTGGTCATTTGACAGAGCAATATGAACATCACAAGGCAACTCTAAATCAACTGAAAAATCCTTTTATCCATGTCTTGGTTAACAGTGTGGTTGTTGTTATTTTTTTTTTTTTTTGGTTTCTTGAAGCAATTTTGCTTTGACATGAACCTATAGTTTGATTTAACAATCAATTTTGCTAATATTATATGTGTTTGCTCAATTTAGTTGTTGAGTTTAATTACTATTGTGTAAGTTGTGCTAATAGCCTATGTATTTTGTGATGCTACTTTAGATGATTTCTAGTAGTTCTAGGAATGACAAAGACAAAACAAGCTAGACCGCGGAGAGACATAAGACTTTTTTTGAGTTTTGTGTTACAAAGGAGGATAATACTTAGGTGGACTATGTAGTTTTTTCATATGATACTTTTATTAATATTAAATTTTTTTTGTTTATCAATGTATGTATAGTGTATGTTTGTATATGTGCATTCAATACTATTAAGAATTGTGATACAAATAATTATTTTTACATCCAAACATACTTTTTATAAAATACTTTAATTTAAGCATTTTTAATTTTGAATATCCAAAAAATACTTATTTAATGAAAGTGTTTTTCTTATAAAACACTTTTGATAAACACTTACCGAAAAAGTATTTATAAGATTTCTTAATTCATCCAAACTAACTCATATATCAGGTTGCATGCAACTTATAAAGGTGGTTAATCCCAACTTTTTATAGGTTGGTTCTCATTGTGTGAAATCAATTGGTTGATTTCTGATATTGGGCCTTAGGTTGATCGTATTATATCACTCGATATTACATCACATTAAAATTGGCCGGGGGCCAGAAAGATGATTTGATCAAGAATTGGGTTTCATTTTAACATTCTAGTTATTGTTCGTGCACGAAGATATGAAGTAATGAAAAAAATTGTCAATTATAAAAATATTTATATTCATATCCAAAATCAAATCACAAGCAAGAGAAAAAAGAATTTAATTATTGATTGTAGTGCGGGTGAGCGGTGGTAATAGTGGTGGGCGCCAATGGTAGAAATGAGAGACGGTGATGGTTGTGGTGGACAACTTGGCTCAATATGACAAGTTCAGGGCTAGTTGAGTTGAGTTTGATAGATGCATGGAAAGAAACTCATTATATACAACCTTTAGAATATGATAAGGATTTGATTTTTTGAGGACAAAAGCAAAAATCAACTGAAAATGAACGGTTCATGCAATTCCAAACAGTGGGAATTGTCCAGTCCATTGGAGAAAAAAAACACAAAAACAAAAACAGTGGGACTGGGAATTGTTTATTTAAGTGATTTGTACGGGAGAAGAATAATTGAGCCATGAGAGTTACAATCATCTTCTCATCATCAACATTCGGCAAGAAAAAGGCTAAAAAGGTATACCCCCTAAGAAATTCAGTACACAAACAGGGCTACGATCCCTTAAAGTCCGTTACATGCCAATGACTTCAGTGTCGGATGGTCTTAGACCGTTTCCACACCGTGTTCTTTGAGTATCACTGTTTAATGTTGAGTGTGCCTTCCATGATAAACAGAAAGTCTTGGTAAGTCAGAGTGAAGTGCCAAGTTTTCCACATATATACAAGCTAAGTGCCTTGCTTTCAAAGGCATTTGCTTACTAACAGAATATTTTGATGGACCCCAGTTGAATAAGAAGCTCGATTTACGATGTCTTGGCTCTGGAGTTATGTGTTCCCTTGGCTCTTGAGTAATTTGTGAACGAAAGATTAATGCATACGCATGTATAAAGCCATCTTTTACTTGAGTAGATTTAAAAATCAGATAATTACAACCATTAATTTTACTGTGAGTCTCAGCATTTATTAGAACTCACTATCTATTCAATAGTTGAGATTATCAAGTTTAATTTTTAAGTTTATCTAACATTACTCGTACTTGTAAATACATTTTGATCAATGGAGTTATTTATCTTTTATTGAGGGGAGGGGAGGAAGGAGGAGGACTTGAACCCTTAACTTCAAAAAGATAAAGTTTTCATAAGGTAAGGAGTATTATTGGACCAAAAGTCTATTGATATGGAAACATTTAATTTCCAAAAAAAAAAATTAATGTGTAATGCATATTGTCAACCTGATAAACAAAATTGAAGAAAGATGAATTCCAATAGTTACTGAGAAGTTACTTATATGACTGAAAGGTGAACTAGAAGGCGAATTTTTTTTTTTTTTTTTGTTTATTAGAAGAGGATGGTGTGAAAATAGTTGATTTCGGCTCGTTCGGATTTAGACTTACTAATTTTCATATGTTCTCTCAATAATATTTATGTTAGTAGGAAATATGATTGAGTATTTTATTTTATTTTTTTGGTCAAACACTATATAAGGAAGGGGGACGACGAAATTCGAATATGCGACCATAGGGTCCAACAGGAGTGGCGGTAGCCATTACTATGAATGAAGGGATTATATCAGGTTGCAACTTATAAAGGTGGTTAATCCCAACTTTTTAGAGGTTGGAAGTCATTTTGTGAAATCAATTGGTTGATTTCTGATATTGGGCCTCAAGTTGAGCGTATTATGTCAACTCGATATTACATAACATAAAAACTGGCCAGAAAGATGATTTGATTTTTTTGTTATTATTCGTACACGAAGATACGAAATAATAAAAAAATTATCAATTATAAAATTATTTGTATTCACATACAAAATCAAGTCACAAACAAGAGAGAAAATAATTTAAGTACCGGTTGTATTTGAAGGTGAGCGGTAGTAGTAATAATGGGCGGCAATAGTGGTGATGAGAGAAGGTGATGATTGTGGTAGGCAGCGACGACCATTGTGGTGGTGGTGGACGTGAGTGGCAGCGATAATGGTGGTGGTGGGTTTTGAGTGACAATGGTGATAGTGACAACCATGAATAACGATGGTGGTGGTGGTTGTGGGGCAACGATAATTATGGTTGGCAGTGGTGGTGGTAGAGCAATGATAATGGTGGTGGGCGACGACGAGTGCTTGTGGGCGCTAATGTTAGCAACGGCAAAAAATTTCACAAATTGAATCGAATCGAACCAGCATCGCAAATAGAATTAGCAATAATTTTAAAATTTATTGTGCTTTATTAGTGTAAAAATTTTTTTATTTTATTATGTAAATTTTGCATTGTATGTGTCTATTTTCACGAGCTTAAAGAGTTAAATATATCAATTATGGGGCTAATTTTGTCTATTAAGAGAGTTTTGAAAGGAGCTCGAACTCAATTAGTTTGATAAATGAATAAGCATGAATGAACATTTACTTTAGTTTATGACTCGATTCGTATGTAGTCCATGACAGAGCTGAAGTGTGGTCTGAGAGGCCCTCCTTGAATTTTGAAAAACACTTTTTACCTCTTTCATTTTTGGTATGAAAAAGCTCAATTCCATGGATAGGTAATATTAATCAACAATGGAAGAGTGTCACTCTTACAGACAAATGCACTTGCTTGAATGATTATGATGACATAATAAAATTGAAAAGATCTAAAATTGTTACGAAATCAAATTATAAGTGATTTAATTAATCTATGTAACAAAATAAAAATTAATAATTATATATAATATATAATTAGATGTACAAATGTTTAAAGAGATACCTAAATAAATAACAGATTTTTTTTTATTAAGAAGTAAATAATTATTCAATACTTAATTTATTATTAAATTTAATTTAATTATATATATAATTCACATTCTGTATAAAAATAATATTATTTAAATTTATACAACTTATTATCATAGGTCTCCATCAACAACTATCGAGTGCAAGACTCCGATAGAGGTTTGGTTCGAGTCTCTTGCGAGTAACATTGATTCAGAGAAGATTTGTGGGAACAGGTGAGACTGGGGGGATGCTGACTTTGAGCCCCACCTGCTCCCATAAATCTTTTTGGTGGTATCACTTGCTCTTCATCAAGAGCATATCTCCTCATTACTTGATCGGGGTGGAATAACTAGGGATTGTAACTGTTTCCATCTCTACCAAGAAATTTTTTTTCCTTCATGTGGACTCCGTGGACTCCATTGAACCGGTAGTGGCCGTGTAACAAAATAATTAACTATATCTACATACTATGACGCAACTAAATTTAAAGAAAAAAAATGTTCATTAGAAAAAGATTCAGTGATTAGAGTACGTTCATCCAAGTCTTGCAATATTAATCTTGGTAAAGTAGTCAGTCATCACACACTTTCCATTCTTTTCTTGTCTTTAATGATGATATGAAACTTTTGAAGTAGGAGGATCCACCTAATCAATCTTGGTTTTGCATCTTGCTCAAGCATGTCTGTTACTAATTTTTACAAGAGTAATACTAGATGGACTTAAAAATTAGATTTGATAATTTTAACCATTGAATAGGTAATGGGTCCCAATAAATGTTGAAATTCACAGTGAAATCAATGGTTCTAATTATTAAGTCTAGTTTTTAAATTCACGTAGCATTGCTCTTTTTGCAATGAGATCAATTTAAACTTATCTTTACTATGATAATTTTTTCAGTCATTATCAAGTTATAAAAAGAAATAAGTATACACATTTCACAAATTAATTTTTACAATCATAAACAAAAATTAAATTTAAAATTTTTATCATATGAAAGTTGACCCAAGCTAGATTTTTGATAAATTCTATACCATTTAAACTTCGATACTCAAGATAATTGAATGTTCCCAGTTAAATAAAACGTATTGGTATGCATTGTTTTCTATTTGGCCCCTGTACAATTAAATTCTGACTTTATCATGTTTGTAGTCTTACTTTAAACTCAATGTCTAACCATTTTGAGATCCGACCTCAATTTCTATGAGATCATGAATGACACTTAAACTAGTGGGTAGCCCAACGGTCATGGCTCTCTTTGACGAGTAAATATTCAATGTAATAGTTACATCTCGTTAGTATTTCACGATTCAGCGTTAAATAAACAAGTGGATAAAATGACCCTACTTCTTTTATTTGGTGCCTACTATGTTACATGAAGTGATAGTTATTTGAATGAGAAGAGCCTACTTTTCATATTTGGTGAGTAATCCTTAGACACTATTAGATCCTCGTAACAATACCAGCATACGATAACCATTACATCCAAGTATTTATTCATTACATTGAAATCTCGACATACGATAACCATGCTTTGGGTAAACACTTGAACAATGTGTTTTTAGGCTACAACGACATGTCTCAGATATTTGATTTTATGTTCTGGCAATTCCTGATATTTCATTATTAACACGAGAAAAAGTCTCACCTGGACTAACACTGTGGGTGTTATCATTGGCCTGACTCGGCCCATTGACCGTCAATAGCCCAACAACCTGAGCCGGTGGTTTGACAAATCTAGCCCGGCCCACATGCGCGTGCACTACGCACATGGAGACAGCCCACGAGAGCTTTACATATGATTCAAGTTCCAAAACACCCCAACTCTGCCGTGTCTTTCTTCTCACGCTAGAACTCTATTGAATCAGTGACAACCTACAAGCTTAAGTCCAAGGAATGTTTACCAAAATTCTGTTTGTAATTGTACTACAATTCTCTGGATCACATATAAACACCACGGGAGCAATATCCTAATGGCCACACGAGACCTGAAAAAGGAAGAAAGAGCGGAAAGAGAAGGGGGGGGGAGTACCCCACTTTACAGGATCTAAAAATGGTTACATACACACAACTTTACCCATGCAAGGAGAGATGCTCCTCGAGTATATGACGCCTAGGTAATAATAGAACAACACAATGGCCAGTGCTCGATTGTTCAAGTGAAAATGTACCACATATAATGGTGTCCTTAAGCAAGCCAACTAAGAAAACATCTTAAATTATCAAAAGTGGTCTCTTAATTTATGCATTGATCTACTCCTTTTGACACTGATATCTTGGCTATACATCAAAAGTCCACAGCAATTCTAGCTTCAGCATATGCCAGATCAAAGGTGTTGAATCGCTGGCTACAACGATATTGCTAGCCCAGCCATATTTTGAACTCTTATAACTCACTCTACATATCTGCCGGATAAAATATTTTCACACCATGTATGATTGTGATTGCATGTAACAGAACTACAAAAATGGCATCCAATAAGTTTAACCCACAAGCCAGCTCCCTACCTTCACAAAAACAAGCTGATATCCCATATCTAACTTTACAAAACCACCCATCTTGGGGTCATAACCCCACATTTTCTCAGGTATGTCTCTGCTTTTTACAACAATTCTAAGTATGATGTTTAAAAATATCCCTCAATTCAAAGATTCCTATGTATGGAGGAGATATCTCTCATACCTTGTGAAGAAACTGGCTGCTCTCTTATACGAGATATAAGGATGGAAACCTGATCAGTGGCAATATCAAGCCGCTCTTTTGACTTTGCAGATTCCCCTACAAGAGTTGATACCATACTCTGTAGTAACTGAACCCTGTCTGCATGATCATTTGGAATAGTCTGAAGGAACTTGGTGGATGGTGTGCTGATTCGACGCCAGCGGACAGGAAGATACCTCTCTGGGATTTGGAAGCAATTTCCTGTAGAGAGAACCCGAAGAGCATGCCGACAAAGGATTCCAGAGAACTCAAAGTGATGGCAACTGCAACTTACAATGCCTTCCCGTGGCACCCAGTATACTTTCCGGCCTCCCTCAAGTTTTGTGTGGTGCCTAACAAGGAATCCGTCTTCCATCTGAAATGATGCATAGTGGGCAGCCAAAACAAGTTGTTCTTGGAGCTTAGAAAATGCAAAAGGCGTTAACACTGTGGCAGCATGAGATTCCATGGGAGCCCCTGTTTTCAGGCAAATGTTCTGAAGATTTTGTTGCATTGTTTGTTGTTCTCCTGCTTGATCTTTAAAATCCACAGCAACAGCAACCTGATTGTGCAAACTGTGTCAGTGGTAGCAGGATGAGTAATTTCACTAGTTTACATGGTGTAACTTCGCCCATCAAAACAATAATCAACATTCATTGCAAATCAGTTGAAATTTCTTGATTTGTCACAATCATTAAAATTGGTTGATTATTTAACATCAATGGACAAATTTTAACTCGCCCCGAAAGTAATATAAATAAAGTTTCCTTTTGTGAGAATAGTCCCACGGCCTCCAAACACCCACCAGACCCTGTCCCCTCCTTCCCGCAACCTAGCCCCACCCCCACCCCCCCGGTGCCCCCGAGTAACAACCGTAGCCCATCTTTTATCAGAAGTAAGGCACTTGTTTCATCTTGACCATTGTAACCTTGGTTCTTAGTATATCCTTGAGTAACTTTAGATGGACAATCTAGACTCTAGCCAATGTTGGTGGGTATATGCAGTCCATGTTTACTATAACTCGGATCGTCCCCTCACACTTCCATCAATATGATATTGGAAAAGCCTAGAATGTGATCAGAACAAATCACAATGATATCTGCTACTAGTTGCATCTCAATAACTTAAGTTAGCCAAGTCAAACAAGCTTGGACCGATCCACACACATGGTAAGGGGTAACATTGTTTCTACTACCAGCACTAATGCTGCCCAAATTTCATCACATGTATAACCTCACATAAGATGAAGTAATCCTCATTAACAAGTTAAGCAATTTTATGTCAAACTAAATAGATGGGACCCCTATTAAGGGTTGATAAAAAAGTTTTCCCCATCAAAATGTCCCCACAACAAAAACAAAAGAGTAGTCTTTCGTCACTCGTCAGTTAAAGTGAAAGAACCGAACTATGTTGCCATTTCAACCCTTCCTTTGAGTAATATAAAAATCATTCTCCTAATTAAATGTAGCACAGTTAGTTGTGAGCTCATGAACCTGAACAGGTCAATACAAACAGTTCAGTACTGCAAGATAATCCAAAAACTTTTCCCTCCAGGAAAGAGAAAGACTTGCTTCAGCTTGAAAAATCGAGTCTGGAAGGATCATAAAGAAGAGTATTAATAAAAATTCCAAAAATGCTAGAAATGGGTTTTTAATTTAAGCAATTTTGTCCTCTTCTTCAGCAAAAGGCTAGGGTCATTCTTTTTGCTTCAGCACTGCTCATGAACCAGAAACGTCCAGTAATGTTGAAGCTCTAGGTGAAAAGAGGCCATGTACAAGATCCTAATTCAAGCTTTTCAAGATCCACAAGTGAAGACTGACCCAAAAAAATCACAAAGGAAACAAACATAAGTGGAAGATCTTAATCTGTTTCAATGTATTGTTCACATGCAGTCAACAAATGTGTACAAACTGTGATATAATGCAGTACAATACTTCTGAATCCAGTTTATTTAATAGCAATAGGACTAGAGAACATACTTGTTCCACAAATTGTGCAAGCCGGGTTTGTGCACTCAAAAAACGTTGAATAAAAGCATTTATTGATTTTGAGTGGCCAGATGTAGTCATTCCTGCAAAGAAATGGCTCCTCAAGTATGGCAATGCCCAAAGCGATCGCAAGGCAAACAAACTGGCTATATGCCTATTAGTATGCAACCCAAAAGAATTGACCATGTCTCTCCACCCCAGTTCAAAATCCTCAATAGCTTCCAGATTATAGAGTCGATAGAACTCAGACTTCCACTCATTGTAACGTTCCCCCAAGACAGCATTAAACCAGGATGGAAATTTTGCCACTATCAGCCAAATACAAAGTGCATGCTTAGTAGTTGGCATCTCCATTGCTATTGCTTCTTTGAGACACATATTTTGATCAGTTAATATTGTACGCGGAGTCTTTCCATTCATGAATCCTAAGAATGCCTTTCACATAAAAAAAAAAAAAAAACAAAGCAGTATATCAACATAAATCTTATATAGCATGAATATTTAGGAAAGAATATGCATGTTATTTGAAGATTATCTTCTTCTTTTTTCGTGTGTAGAGTGAGAGAGTAGTGTAGGTGAGGGACAAAATCATTGAGCACTGAGGACAATCACAAAGTGCAAATTGAATTGAATCAAAATAAGTTCTCATTGTATTGGAAGTGACAGTTTAAAAGTGATAAAATACTTATCAGTGCCTTCTTCAAATAACCTGCCTTTCCAAAGGAAGAGTTTGGGTCTACCCCAATAACATACACCAACCTCACTAGACCAGTGTCTGTAGGACGATCAGGGCTCAACTAAGGTACCAATCAGTACTAAACCCCAATTATATGATTCAAAATAATCACATTTGCATCTCATAGAGAAGACTTGAATAACTTATCACCAGATCAGATAATGACCCATTTCATCTTTTCAGACAATTGAACTTCCCAACATATTGAAAATTTTATAACATTAGTTAAGAAGTTCATCAAATGAAACAAAATGACTCGGCCACCATTGAAACCTATATGATCAAGTCTAACCATCCACCACTTAAAGTCTAGGCCAAATGCTAATGTATTAATTTTGGTATATCTAATTTGAAATTAACAATTTTGGTATATCTAATGTGGGCAATTTTTGTGTGTCGAGGGAAAAGGGGAAGGGGTCACACACATGCCTAAGATAAGTTCATCAATTGGTTCAGAAAAAAATTGGTCCTAATTTACCTTTAGAGCCCATGAGAATGACCTCAAGTTCTCCTCTCTTAGGAGGACACAACCAAAGAAGCAAGGCATACCATAATTATTCATCCCAACCCATATTCCAAGAGGCATATCAAAAGCAGTCAGGCGATGTGTAGTATCAAACACAATAGCATCACCAAAGATATCATATGACTGAATCGAGGAGGCATAGGACCAAGCAATGTTCTCCAACCTATTATTGTTTGAATCAAGTGTAAATTCAAATCTGAAATTTGGGTCTTTTTCCTTGATGTTTCTACACATTCTCAGTAAGTCTATACTCTCATCCTCTGGATCCACTTTCCTATATGATTGAAGCAAATTCCTAACATCCTTCTCTGTGAATGGCAAATACCCAGGCTCCACACACTTCTCAAGCTCCATTAACCTCATCATCTGCTGCACAGAAATTCCAGTTTTGGCAAACATTAGGATACGACTTTTGTCCGTATCTGATATGGTTCGATACGCAGGAAGAAAACGAACTTGGTTTGGTTCCAAGAGTTCATGATTATGGTGGTTTGCAAAACCCGTAACTCGCCATTCTTGACCTCCTAACTCATCACCTGTCTTGCTTATCCGCATATAAGCTTGACATCCACATCTAGATGACTTTCGATTTCTCTGAGGTTTGTTTTCGTTTAAGGTTTTCATTGGAGTATTACCAGCACGGTGGCAGACAAAGTAGCGTCTTGTAAGTCCTTTACCCACCCCATCTTTACCTTCTGTGCGATGACGACGGATCGAGAAACCACAACGCTTCGCATATTCGGTATAGAATTGATAAGCAGCATCATGAGTTATAAATCTTTGCCCAATATAAGGGATTGCCTCATTTGTGGATTCTAAGGAAAGCCTGGTTTCATCTGGTGATTCCTCTTCTGCGCTGCTCGAATCGTCCAAAGATAACGATCTTTGATCTGAGTGATCATCATAAACCATCATCATCTGCCCAGAGTCTTCAGACATTATCGTTAAGCTAAGACCATTTTGTATCCCTCGTAAGAACAAAAAAAACGGAAATGGGTTTTGTGATTACTTACCCAAATCAAAGATATGGAAGAATGCTATCATCGAACACTCGAGAGAGAGAGAGAGAGAGAGGGGGGGGGGGGGGGGGGGCTGAGCTGAGGGGGAACCCTAATGTGCGCAGGGAGGTGATGAGACCCTTTTATCTCACGGCGCAGACTCTTATCCGACGCCTTTATGTTTCCAAACAAGTCGAAATCCAGATAAAGGACTCCACTATTTGTGTATCCAAACATGGACGGTGTAGAATCTAAACTATTTTGTGTTTTTTAATAATTCCATGGGTTTTTTCATTTACTAATAACGTCAATTTTCGACTGCCTATTTGGGACCTCGTAGGTTGATTGAGTTTCATAACGATTTAAGCTGCAATTTTGGTTCTTTTTTTTAATTTAATGATTTTAGATCGTATGGCATCCTATAAAATAAAGGATTAATTGTACTAAAAATTCCTAAAGTATGAAGTTTGTCTCATTTTAGATCATAATATTTTAATTGTATCATTTTAGTCCTTGAAGTATTAAATATATTTATATATGATCTCTCAGACAGATATCGTCCAGATTGCTAATGATTTTTAATTATAAATTTATCATATAATACCTAAATATTTTTTAAAAAAAAAATTGAATAACTTTTGATCAAAATTTTAACCAAATTTTGGACAAAGAACTACCCAAATTATACAATTTTGATCATGAATTATCTAAATTTTGGTTAATAGTTACCTATATTACACATTTTTTGTCAAGAGCTACCCAAATTTTGGTTAAGAGTTATTTAAATTATTTTGTGTCCATATTTAAGTATAACGTGACAAGGATATGATCAAAAATCATTAATAATTTGGATGTTATCTGTTTGAGGAATCATATAAAAACATATTCAATATTTCAGAGACTAAAATGAGACAAACTCTATATTTTAGGGATCTTCAATGCAATTAACTCTAAAATTAAACAATTATGTTTGCATAATTTAACTCAAACATATTTTAAGAGTTAAGAAAATTCAACACAAATTCATTATTTTTATTATTTTTTTGACTTGATCATAAACTCGTTATCATATTAGCAATAGAGTAATGCTACAAAATTCAAATAAAATTCAAAAAGTTACAACCTAAATGTATATCATCCCTTAAATTAGAGAATCCCTTCAATTTTTTCAATAGGGTCTACTCATCCCACACTCATCTGAGGAATAAGATGCATTTGAGTTTTAAATTTTAGATTTCATTTGAGTTATATGACATTTTTCTTAGCAATAAACAAACACTAAGAAATTATTTTTTTTTGGGTCATATGACCTAGATATGAATAAATTCAATTTGAATAACTCAATCACCATAAATACATATAATTTTTCTCCATTGAGACTCAACTGCATGGACCAAGAAAAAGCAACAGGAAAGAGCTGAATATGCTAAGAAGAAGAAAGGGATTCGTGCGAAGGCTAGAAAGATTGATTCTACAGTTCCTACCAGATCAATATCTTCCCATCAACCATCGAGGATGTCCAAGATGTTACATAATATCTATGGATTCGTTGAGGGTGGTCAAGTTCAAGATGAGCACCCAAGATCCTATATATGGGATTTATCCAATTTCTTTTGTTCAATCGGTGGAGATTGAATTTCATTCCAATTGAGAACCATGATTTGCTTATTCTGAAACTGTCACGGACTTGGGAACCCTCAACCAGTTCGAGCTCTTCATGAGCTTGTACATAAGAAAGTTCCCAACTTAATTTTTCTAATAGAAACCAAGTTATCGGTTTATGAGATTGGAGGATTTCATCAAAGGTTTGGCCCTAATTGATTTGTGTCAATTGATTGACCTTGGTTTACAAGGTTTTCCTTTCACCTGGTGCAATGGATGGTTACATCCAAACATTGTTAGATCATTATCAACTTTGTTTAAGGATCGCATAATATTGGGAGATGGATACGAGAGGTAGAGAAAGGAAAAGATTTTGATTCGAATCGATGTGGCCAAGTGATGACTCTTGTGGAGAGGTTGTGCATAACTGTTGGAAGGGGTCTGAAAGGGGAAGTATGACTCATAGATCATTGTCAGTTTTCTTCCATTTGTTTGTTAAAATAGAAGAAAGAAAATATTGACAACATTCAGCAGAAAAACAACATAATAAGTGAAGGGGCATAAAATTATGCCACGTGGATAAAGAAACAATCATGTGGGATTTTTACTCTATGTCGAAATATACATATCTAGGTCTTATGACCCAAAAAAAATAATTTCTTAGTGTTTGTTTATTGCTAAGAAAAATGTCATACAACTCAAATGAAACCTAAAATTTAAAACTCAAATGCATCTTATTCCTCAGAAGAGTGTGGGATGAGTAGACCCTATTGAAAAAATTGAAGGGATCCACTAATTTAAGGGATGATATACATTTAGGTTGTAACTTTTTGGATTTTATTTGAATTTTGTAGCATTACTCTATTGCTAATATGATAACGAGTTTATGATCAAGTCAAAAAAATAATAAAAATAATGAATTTGTGTTGAATTTTCTTAACTCTTAAAATATGTTTGAGTTAAATTATGCAAACATAATTGTTTAATTTTAGAGTTAATTGCATTGAAGATCCCTAAAATATAGAGTTTGTCTCATTTTAGTCCCTGAAATATTGAATATGTTTTTATATGATTCCTCAAGCAGATAACATCCAAATTATTTTAGGGATCATAATTTAACTGATCATAATTAGTTCCGCAACTCAGAACTGAGCTGAGTTGTTACAGTTTAGAATATATTACCGAGCAAAAGGACCTAGCATAGTTTAAAGGTATAGTGTAAACCGAACAACGTGATAATTGCCTATGATCAAGGGATTTAGCTGTAACGGCTAGGCGCAGTCAATAGCTCAGATGAGCTGAGATTAAGGAAGCGTTAGATAAATTTTTGCAATTGCTAACAAATAGCCCCACGGAAAAGGGAGATGTGCCATTTTCTACACCAGCAAACGAAATCCCTGAAGTCTATATAAAGTAGCAAGGATGTATGGCAAGAGGTAGATTAAATCCTTCTAAGTACATTTCTTCATATCTACACTTACTAACTTAAGCATCGGAGTGTCTTAGATCAAAGTACTTCGATCCTAGGCAGCTTGTTTCTTCTTGCAGGAAGCACTACTTAGGAAGGAACAATTCTTTTGCAAAGGTCAAGAGGATCGGTGTTTTTATCCTCTTACATTTGGCGCCATCTGTGGGAACTACCAGAACCAAAAGTCATGTCAAGATTGAAAAGCACAATTGGATCGCCTGTACAATCCGATGCACAGCAAGAAGACTCAAATCCAAACTATCGAGTATCGTTTCCTTCTAGAAGAGACATCCAGGTGGACATCTACGAAAGGCAGAACGAACAACATGAGGATAGGATCTCTTTTGCCAGTTTCAACCTGAACGATGATGAAAATCGGCGTGAAGACCCGCAGGGAGGATCCCTCCCTACCGAGGGGGATAGCTCTGCCCTGACGAGATTGGTTCAATCATTGCGAGATCGTTTGGATGCACATGAAAAAATGTTCAAAAAGTCATATGCAAGAGAAAATGCCCTGAAAAGGGAAAATAAGGTGCTAAAGCAAAAACTCAAGAAGATCAGTGAAAGAGAAGACGTTAATCAAGGTGATCGCAACACCCAAAGGCAGCAACACAAAAAGTCAGACTGTTGGGGTGCAGAGGAATAATGAAGATTCACAAGGAGTTGGACGCCACAAAAGGACACCGGTCCGGAAGTCAGAAGTAAGAATGGAAACATTTCATCATCGAGGAACTCGACAGTTGGACAAGAAGAGCCGAGTAGAAGTCGACAAGGGACTTGGCACGAAGAGCAATTGGAGAGGAAATCGGCGATACGGAGGTTTCTTTGTTCACCAAATGGATAGATTAAGCAAGGATACCGAGCAAGTTCGTTGTCCCGAGCTTCAAACTTTATGACATGAAGACAGATCCCATCGCTCACATTTGTCATTACAGATAGTCGATGACGGTGCACAGAAAGAACTAGCCTTTGCTATGTACTATATTCCCCAATAGCCTTGGGAAATCAGCAATGAAATGGTTCGACGGACTCGCTAGAGACTCGATGGATAGTCAGGGTCAGCTAGCTAAACAATTCATAGCTCGGTTTATAACAAGCAGTCGGTAGCCTAAGGATGTAGGGACACTGCTGACACTAAAGAAAAGGAATGGAGAGACACTACGAGAATATGCACACCGATATGGGAGACGATGAATGAGGCAAAGACGTGTAATCCCAAAATAGCAGCAGTTGCATCCTTCAAGATCGGACTGCCAAAGGAGAACCCTTTGTACCAATTGCTGACAAGAAAATCGACAACGAACATGGAGGAAATTTATGGCAAGAGTCGAGAAGTATGTCAAGGATGATGATGACCTTGGTAGGAATGCAAGAAGAGAACAAGTCGGGAAAAAGTAGTTCGGTAAGGACAAGTCGGGTCCATCGACTCGGCTCGATGGAGGGAAAAACAAGGAGAGAAGGATTTCTATACATGGGGGGGTCAACACGGTGTTCAAAGAGCCAATCTACAGAATCCTTTCCCAGAATAAGGGAAAACCCTTTTTCAAATGGCCAAACAAGTTGGGAGGAGATCCTAACAGGAGGAACTTGAACTTCAGATGCTCTTACCATCGAGACGTAAGGCATATGATTGAGATCTGTCCCTCTTTGAAGCAGCACCTAGAAGAGCTAGCCCAGGTTGGACAGCTCTCCCAATTCGTGGAGAATGGAGGAAAGAATAGCAGCGACGACATTGAAAATCTCCCTCATGATTAACTCACTCCTATTGACATTATCGATGTGATACATGCGACCACCTCACACATATCCACAAATAATTTGGCTAGGGCATACATTAAAATGGTTGCCCAAGCTTGAGAGGTTTATGAATTGGGGGCAAGCCCCAGACCCGAGAGTAAAAGATTGAAGACGGGTGAGTCAGCCACAAAATTAGCTTTTCCAAGCAAGACTTAATAGGGTGCACCATCCACATAATGACGCGCT